TGGCCCATGGTGTGTACACGGGAGAAGCCGCTGCAGATGAGCTGTGTTATTCCCGGCAACGTGGGGCTGGGAGCAAGGCAAGCGCTGCTTCAGATCCCTTGCTGACTTGGATTGACTGCTGCCGAGGGACCACAAGATGCTCATTAAACCCTGGTGACAGGCGGGCGAACAGCCCCCAAAGCCATCAGGCCTGAGTGCCTACAACCCGTACATGTTACCTTATAAGGAAAAGAGCCTGCATGTGTGATGAAATTAAGGCTTTTGAGAGGGAGCCTGGCCCTGGCTTGTCTGGTGGGCCAGGAGCAGTCACTGCATGTTTATGAGCGAGAGGAAAGAGAGGAGACTCGAGGATGGGTGGGAGAGGGATTTAAGGACGCTGGGCTCAGAGACGGGACTGATGTGGCCCCAAAGCCAGGCATGGCAGCAGCCACAGAAGCTGGATGAAGCAAGGACCAGATTCTCTCCGAGAGCCTCCGAAGGCAGTGTATCCCTGCTGACGCCTTGACGTCAGCCCGGTAAGACTGACCTCCGACTTCTGACCTCCAGAACGCTGAGAGAACAGATTTTTGTTGTTTTAAGCCACTGAATCGTGGTACTTGTTATCGTCGCCATGAGAAACTAACATGACACACTGTCCCTCTCTGGATGTACATGCATCTAGGGGAGGCCACGTGACTAATTCCTGCCAGTGTATCACTTCCTGCCTGAGGTAGTTAGGTGGGGGCGTGTCCTTATACACTTACCACTCTGCCCCATCTGCCAGCTGGATTATGACCACGTTAAAGACAGAGGAGCCACAGCAAGCAAGGAGCCAGGGTCCTCAAGCTGCCACTGGAAGGACAGCTGCCCAGAGAGCCTCTCTCACTAGGCATAGCCACACTTGCATTCGGGTGAAGAAGAAACAGACTCCTGGGGGAAGAGCTGCCTGGGTGTGTTCATCAGGAAGGAGCAGCAGACGGGCAGCGCGTGATCCACTTAAAGAGCAGTGGGTTCCAGAGAAGAGACCCCGGTGCCTTTTGTGGGCAGTGGCCCAGCCCTCAGGTGAATAAGGTCCCTCGCGTGGCTGGCCACCCATCAGACTGGTGGCCTCTCTTCCCATTGGAGGATCATGCGAGACGGGATGGAGGGAGAGGCCGGAAGTGTCACCGCTGTATTCTGGGGACTGAACTCATCCCCTCCGCTCTGTACAAAAGGGAGGGTCAGGGCTAACCCTGCCCTTCCATCATCTACGACAGCCATCTTTGAAAACCTTGGGTTTGGAACCAGTGATCAAATCCAAACTTTTCATGATATAGACAAGAAAAATGGAGCCCAGAGAGGCAGAAGCTGGCAAGGCTTCATGGCTTTGCTCACACACATGGTGACCATCTTGGTTTTGTCACTGGTCACCCTCAGCCTAATTGGCCTGCTCTATGGATGTAAGCTGAGGAGCTCTGGTAGCGTAGTGCCTAAGGCACTTGACTGCTAACCAGAAGGCTGGCGGTTCAAATCCACCGGCCACTCCTCGGAAGGAAGATGGGGCAATCTACTTCCATAGTGATACTGCCTCGGGAACCCAAGGAGGGGTCGCTATGAGTCGGGTCCGACTTGATGGCACATAACAACAACAACAACATGGACGTGAACTGAGTTAAACCCAACCAGCCCGGGAAGGGTTTCATCCTTTTGGGGGTGTGGAGTCTCTGTCACGGCCACTTAGCTTACACCTTACCTAGCTAGCTTCTTAGTACACAGGACATGTCTCCCTTACCTCATCTTGTTTAGCGCCTGACCCTTAGGGAGGTCGTGCGGCATGGCGGTCGGGCACAGGCTTTGGAGCCAGCCAGATCCAAGTTCCAGCACTCTTTCTGACAGTATGTGGCCCTGGGTAACATGCTAAATCTCCCCCAGCCTCCGTTTCCTCATCTGAAAAAGGAGTAACTCCACTACTTACCTTTTCCTTGTTGTGAGTTCATGTCAAGGTGCCTGGCGTGGTGCCCGACAGAGTAAGAGCTGGGTTGGAGTTTGTCAGCGGGATGGATGCCCCAGAACAGCAACATCTACCAGAGTGCAAGGCCCCCAGGCAGCGTTTGGTTAAACCTCCCTGCCCCAACGTCTCTGCAGGAGAGAAAGGGTGAAAATGAGAGGAGAGGGCCATGGGGCTGTGCTGGTCATGAACCTGACCTGCCGGATTCTCAGCCTCCGGACTGTGGTCAGGGCTGTTGGGTCGGCTCTGACTCATAGTGACCCCGTGGACAACCGGGGAAGCACTGCCCAGTCCTGCCCCAGCCTCCCAGTCCTTGCTGTGCTGGAGCCCGTTGCGGCGGCCAGTGTCAGTCCGTCTGGTGGAGGATTTTCCTCTCTTCTGCTGACCTTCTTCTTTGCCCATAAGATGTCCTTCTCCAAGGACTGGGCCCTCCTGATAACATGTGCAAAGCTTGGGAGATGAAATCTCGCCATCCTTGTTCCTAAGGTGCACTCTGCTGTACTGCTTCCAAGACAGGTTGGTTTGTTCTTCTGGACGTCCATGGTCTATTCAGTATTCTTTGCCAACAGCAAAATCCAAAGGTATCCGTTCTTTGGTCTTCCTCATTCATTGTCCAGCTTTCACATGCGTATGAGGCAACCGAAGGTACCATGGCTTGGGTCAGGCGCACCTTAGTCCTCAGAGTGACAGCTTTGCTTTTTAACACCTTAAAGAGGTCTTTTGCAGCAGATTTGCCCAATGCAGTACATCATTTGATTTCTTGACTGCTGCTTCCACGGACGTTGATTGTGGATCCAAGTCACATGAACTCCTTGACAACTTCAGTCTTGTCTCCAGCCTGAGTTCTGCTCCCCCTGGCCAGTGTGTCCAGCAGCTGATCACCAGAACTTCCTGCCTTGTCTGTCTTAGTCTGCAAGCTCCCCTGGGACGGGTCCACCGTGGGGGCCCCTGCTGGGACTGGGAATACTGGTGGCATGGTCTCCAGCATCACAACAACACACACGCCACCACAGCACGACACACTGATAGATGAGTGGTGGGCCTCAGGGTAGCAGGGATGCAAATGCAGGGCCTTGGAGACTGTTTTCACAACTCCACTTCACACTGGGTTCAGAAGCATTGAGAAACAACTGCAGAGAGGACTTGTGAGAATGTCATGTTGCTGCTTGGCAGTCCTCAGGGGGCCTCCCGGTGCCTGTTTCCTCAAACCATGTTTTCACTAGAAACTTTCACTACTGCACACAGGTGCCAACGGCCCCCCAGAGTTCAGTGAAGAGTGCACTTCAGGGAGACTCAGGGTCACCTCAGCCTTGGACAAAAGGCAAAGAGGGGGGCCTCAGCAAGGGGAGATGAGGGGACAGGACAGCCCCCCAAATCCTCAGGAAGTAGTTAGGGCCAAACCCAAGTGAAGGTCACGAACACAAGCATGTTGCTACCCAAGTGGTTAACGTGGATGTGGAAGACGGGACTGGGGTGTGCATGCACAAGACTGAGTGGGCCTGGAGGGGGGCTGTGGGTAATGTGGTCCAGGACAAGGAGAGAGGGGTCCGCATCCTGCCCCCTACCTGGCCTGGCTGGACGGGACTAACTAACACTCCCATCAGGTGGAGAAGGAAACAGTAAGACCAACAATAAATACAGCGAGCTCTGAGGTGTGAGGGGTTGGCACCCCCAGTGCTGTCAGGTCGGCCCCAATCCCTGGCTTGGCTTGTGTGTGTGTTGGGGGGGAGTGGAGGGGGGTGCAGCTGGCAGAGGTGGGAGGACAATGCCCTAGAAGCCTTGAAACGAATCTGAAATGCACTCACTCTGGGCAGGACCCAAGCTGTTCCACGTGGGCTTTAAAGCTACACTGTGCTACCAGCCAAGAGAAAACAAAACCAACCTGGAAACGTGAAGACTTTGCACCCGTGCTGGGGATTGACTAGATGACTACCAGGGTCCCTTCCGTCCCCAAGGCTCTATAAAATGTTCAGCAGTATATCAAGAAAACTAAGTACGCAGAATGCATGAGTTTAATGACTTATTAATTTTTAAATTGAGAGATTATTGACATACCATAAAAATTTCTTCTTTGAAAGTACAATTCTGTGGCTTTCTGTATAGTCACAGAGCTGTGCAACCACCACCAGTACCTACTCCTGGAGTACTTTCCTCACCCTGAAAGGAAACTCCGTAGCCATCAGCAGTTACTTCCCTTTCTCCTCCTCCCGGCCCTGGCAACCACTGCTGGCCCTAGAGACTTGCCTGTTCTGAACCTTGCACATAAATGGAGTCACACAGCATGTGGCCTTCTCTGCTTCTTTCACTCAGCATGATGTTCTCAAGGTCATCTATGTTACAGTATTATCAGGACTTCATTCCTTTTCATGGCCAAATAATATTCCACCGTATAGATCTATCACATTTTGCTTATCGAGTTGATGGAAATAGGGGTTGTTTGGGTTTAATTTTAAAGGTATGATTATGTGAGTGTATTCTTTGCCTATCTCTTCTCTCAAATTAAGGAATATGAAAAGCAAAATGAAGTGTGAGCAAAACAGCAGCACCTGATACTTTAAAAAGGAAAATGACTCCTAGTTTTTAGATTGAGTCAGTGGAGAGTGGGGCCAAGATTTGGTGGCCACACAGTTCAAACCTAATACCTTCTGACCCTGTGTCTGAGCTGAGTCCATCCACTGAGCCATCAGTTAATCCACTGGGAAGTCCTTGGATCAGGCAAGAAGAACTAAAAGCTGTTGCTCAAATCTTTTCAATGTGTTTTGGTTTTATGGAAATGACTTAGGGCCATCAAAGGGGCTGGGATTTGGGACCAAGTATATAGGACTCTGGGTACCTCCATACCTTCTTAAAGTAGTTGTTGTTGTTGTTGTTATTATGTGCCGTCGAGTCGGCCCCGACTCATAGCGACCCCTCCTTGGGTTTCCGAGGCAGTATCACTACGGAAGTAGGATTGCCCAACCTTCCTTCCGAGGAGTGGCTGGTGGGTTTGAACCGCCAGCCTTCTGGTTAGCAGTCAAGTGCTTTAGCCACTATGCTACCAGAGCTCCTCTCTGTAAGCCTTAAGCCCATCTTCTCCCAGCTCCCTTCCATTGCCAGATTCCTTGAAACCCCCAAATGGTGTGTGGCAGGTGACGATGTTGTAAGTGTTCACCCATACCGTCCCAGCTTAGAGTGCTTGAGTGAAGTACGTGGCCTTGTCCGGGTCCTGGGTGAACATGGCAGCCGCCAAGCCATACCTGTGCTGTTGGCCCTGTCAATCACCTCCTCAATCGCCTTGAACTTGAACAGGGGCTGCACAGGCCCAAAGGTCTCCTCCTTGGCGATCCTCATGTCATCCTGCACACCACCAAAAACCGTGGGCTTGATGAAGAAACCATGATCCCCAAAATGCTCCCTGCCGCAGAGAAGCTTTGCACCTCCTTTCTGGCCAAGCTGGATGTAGCCCAGGATTCTTTTCAAACTGCTGCTTGTCCACCTGGGGCCCTGCTGGGTAGCCAGCTCAAAAGGGTTCCCGACTTCCCTCTGCTTGGCTTTTTCCACGGTTCTCTCGAGAAACTCATCATAGATGGATTCTTCCACGAAGGTCCGGGAACCAGCACAGCAGCACTGGCCCATGTGGAAGAAGAGGGCTCCATGGCACTGCTCCGTGGCATGGCCCATGTCAGCATCGGCCAACACGATGCTGGGGCTCTTCCACCCAGCTCCAGGGTGACTCTCTTGGGGCTGGACTCGCCGGCTGCCTTCTGGATCAGGCGGCCCACCTCAGCGGAACCAGTGAAGGTGACTTTGTCAATGTCCATGTGCTGGGCGATGGCTGCTCCTGCTGTTGGACCATAGCCTGTGATGATGTTCACCACCGCAGGAGGAAAGCCTGCCTCCTTGATGAGCGAGGCCAAATACAGGGCAGAAAGGGGGGTCTGCTCTGCAACCTTCATGACTACAGTGTTGCCTGTGGCGAGCGCTGGGGTGAGCTTCCAGCCCTGCATGACCAAGGGGATTATGCGGCCACAGATGCCAATGGGCTCACGACGGATGAAGCAGAAATGCTCCCCATCCATGGGGATGGTCTTGCCATGCCACTTGTCAGCCCAACCAGCAAAGTACCGGTACACTTTGATGACCTCATCCAGGTCTAAGACGTAAGACTCCTGGAAGGGCTTTCCATTGTCCAAGGTCTCCAGTGAGGCCAAGTAGACCCGATCCCTTTCCACAAGGTCGGCCAGGCAGTTTAACAGCCAGTCCCACTCGGAGGCATCCATCTGGCGCCATGGAGACCCCAGGCGGAAAGCGTCTTGGGCTGCTTTCACAGGCCGGTCCACGTCGGCCCGCTTCCCTTTAGGCACATGCCCAGTGACCTCCCCAGTGGTGGGGCTGACTTTCGGGAAGGTCTCCTTGCTGGCTGCATCTTGCCAGTCGTTGTTAATCAACAGCTGGTTGTATCGGATGTCTGGGTTCAGGACGGGGCTTGGGAGTGCTGCTGCAGAGGCAAGGCAGCCGGGGTGCCAGGAAGCGCGACCTGCTGACCACTCTAGAGAGGGACGGGAGCAACCAGGGTGAGCAGGTGAGAGGCGGCAAGGTGGTCACCCAGAGCCTGTCCAGCTCGTGTAGTCTAAGACTTGAGCATGACGTGGTGCCACCTCTAGAATATGGACTGTAAGGGGTGGAAGGGCCCTGAAGGACTCTCCAGGCCAACCCAGGATGTTCATCTGTCCTCCGGCTGGCTCCTCCAGCTCTTTGCGCAAATGCTACCTTCTCAGGAGGTTCTTTCCCGGCCCCTTGAAAAAGCTATGACGTCTCCCTCTCTTAGCACTCTCTCCCCCATACACCCTGCTTCATTTCTCCCCATCTGACATACAAATGTGGTACTTACACCCTTATGGGGTGATTTTCTGTCTCCACCCAACAAAATACAAGCTTTGTGGGGACCAGGATTCTGTTCTGTTTTATTCATTGCTATGTCCCTCTGTCTACAGTTATGCTCAGGACAGTGGCTCAGTGACTAGTTAGTCAGTGACAGTCTGAAGAAATATGGAAATGTCCACAAAGGTTGCTTGAGACCTGTCTTAGGAGATGGGGCACCACAGGGGCTCTGAGACATCAGCGTTCCCCTGGAGAAAGTGGCTGCCCGTATCTCTGTACCTCAGTTTCCTCAAATGTGAAATGCCTCATGGGTTATGTTGAATAAGATCACACTCCACCCCAGGACATCTGAGTTCACTCAGAAACCATCAAGGCTCAGCCCCAGTGGGCTTTCCCAGAGATGCGAGCCCGCCAGCGTCTGGGAAGACCAAAAGAGTGGTTGTCAAGTGGATTCCGACTCACGGCGGCCCCCCATGCGTCAGAGTGGAACTGGGCCCCTCGGGTTCCCAGGGCCTGATTTTTCAGAAGTAGATCCCCAGTCCGTTTTTCTGTGTGCCTCTGGGTGGACTCGAACTGCCAGCCTTTCAGACAGCAGCTGAGCACCCTGACTGCACACCAAGGGGCTCTGACGGGGAGGACAGGTCTGCTTATTCTTGGCCGTGACTTCAGAACATAGCAGACCATTACAATAACGAGAACTATGCAAATATAAGTGGTACATATGTATTACTGTATTTAAAGGGTGCAAAAAAGATAGTTGAAGTGTTTCTCCTGGTGTGGTGGTTATGTTTGCGTGTCAACTTGGCTGGGCCTGGCTGAGTGGCTGGGCAGCTGGTGGTGGTTATTCCCCATATGAGACTGGCGATCAGCTCCACGGTGGGATCTACCACAAGCAGCTGAGTAGCTGCCTTTGGGATGTGGTCTGCTTCCTGTATTTAAAGAGAAGTCTTGGGAATGGTCTCAAGCCTATGGCACGCTTGGACCCTGCACGTAGCCATGTCTTTGCTCAGCAGCCTGCTATGCTCTGCCGACCTTGGGACTCACAATGGACTTAAGTCAATGGCCTGCCGTGTGGTAACATCGGGACTGTGCCTTTTTCCTTGTCAACCTTGGGGCTTCTCAGCCTCAGCAGCCAGCAGCTGTCTGAGTGAAGAAACGCCTCTAGCTCCAGTGGGCTGGGAGCAGGAGGCAGAGCTGGACCCCAAAGTTGAGGGGCTTTCACCCAGCCCTTAGAGCTGGCACTTTGAACTTGGATTTAAAGCCTCCAAATTGTAAGAATAAACTACTGCTTGTTAAGGCCATTTGTGGTATATTCTTGTCAGAGCGGCACTGGGTAACCAGAACACATGGCAAAGTTAAAATGCTTCCTAGTTGCTGTTTCGCTCTTCTCCCCATCTAGCAGTAAAACCAAATTGCACCTGCCTGCCCCCTCCACCTCAGCACTGCCCCCCTTCCAGCCCTGGGGTGGGAGATGAGGATGGGGGTGGGGCAAAGAAGAAATTCAGGAAAGCAAGGCCCCAGCCAGGTGCACAGCTCATAGCAATCCACGTTGACCAGGAAGGCACTCTCCGAGGAGGGAAGCTGAACCATGCCCTGTCAGGGCGGGGGCTCAGGTTCCATTCTGCTCTGGGCTCTGCCTCACGCTGGGACAGAAGCTGTCTTGGGCCCAGCAGGCCCCGCTGAGGGGGAAAAGGGCCCGAGGGGAGGTGGGGAAAAGGGGGAGTTGAGAACCACGGGGGGAGGGTGAAGAGGCGAAGCAGGCAGGGAGGCCGTCAGTCCAGGGAACACTAAGGCGCTGGATTGGAAGGAGAAACAGAGACCCAGAGAGGGCCAGGGCTTTGCCAGGTCACACAGACAGGCTCTGGGACGCCAGCCCCATTTTGCATTCTGCCCTCTCAGCCCCGCACGACGCTCCTTGTTAGCTGGTCACACTTAGCCTCTCCTTAACCCTCTCTGGGTTTGCGAATTTCTGCCTGAGCCTTCTACCAGCACTGTTTTCCATTCCTTTCCGAGGGCATTTATCCTAAGGACAAAAAGAACGCGCGCACAATTTTTAAAACTTGGAAAACACAGGAAAGACTGGGGGAAAACAAGGCAATCACCCGGCAGGTAACCAGGTGCGGTGGAGTCAATTCTGCCTCAGGGCCACCCCCTGGGACAGGGTTTCCAGGGCTGTCACATCTGCCCCCCAGGAAGCCCTTGCCGGTGGGTTCCAGCTGCCAATCTCAGTTAGCAGCCCAGCGGCTAACCACTGGGCAACCATCCTCTCATGTTTATTCTGCTGTTTTTTTCTCTGCATCTTTCAAAAATTCTTTTAATAAAAATGAAATTTTATGGTGAACTCTTTTTGCAGCTTTTTCTTTTTTCTGTGTTCTGTTAGGACCCTGTCTCATGCCACTGTACACAGACCTCATCGTCCTCTTTCAGGGGGCACAGAATTTCAATGGAAGGGGGAGAGGTGGACTGCTGAGGGGTGGTCAGAGAGTCTCCATCTCGTCACCGTCCGCCAGGCTGCTGTGAACGCCCTTAGCACACACCTCTGCACACCCGTGGTCCGGAGCTACCCTGGCACAGCTCCTTCACCCACACACGTGTGCCCTCATGGCACTCAGGAAAGTGAACGGCCGCGTCTGGCTGGCACCTGGGGTCTGGAAAGTGAACTAGGAGCTGCCAGATGGGAAGGTGGCAGGAGTCGGAGGGTGTGGCTGGGCCTTTGGGCGGTTTCCCATCACCAGCGTGATGGCGGACAGGGCAGCACCGTTCCTGTCCCTCCCAGCTTCCTGGGCGTGTGGTGGCAGCTGTGTGGTGACATCCTCCTCACTCCAGCCCCTGCTCTCTGAACTGCGGCTGCCGAGTTGTGTCTTAAACAAAACAGCTCCAGAGGTGGCCTCAGGTGGTAAGGCTGCAGGTGGGCCAGGTGAGCATTAGAGCCAGTCCTGGAGTCTCGCTAGGGCCTGCTTCTCCCTTCGGTCCTTCGGGCCATCCCGTCAGCAGTCCCTGGACTAAACCCCTAACAATTTGCTCTGTACTCACAGGGACTCCATGTGTCTCTGAGCAGCACTGTGCCCGTGGGGTTTCTGTGGCTGATGTTTGGAAGATCACCAGACATTTCCTCTGAGGCGGCCCTGGGTGGCTCCAAACCCACAACCCTTCTGTTAGTAGCCAAGCACTTAACCCTTTGCACCGCCCAGGATTGCCTATTAGATCCCTACCTAGCCACAGTTATTTAGTGTCCGTTTTCCTGCTTGCACCTGACTGGCTCCCACAGTTCCTTCCTGAAGCTATTCCTCCGTGGAGCCTTTCACACAGATATCATCCCTAGGACACTCACAGCTCTGGCTGTAAACTGAACCCTTCACCGAGGCTATCACGTTTCGTATCTTGCCTTGTTGGTCTTCGTGTTTTCCTCTGGTTCCCCAGCCAGCACGTGAGCCCCCTGCAAAGCCCTGTCCACCTCCCTCACAGCCTAGCACACTATGGGCACTGTGCGTGGTGCTCCCCGCTTAGTTGGCTCAGTGATGACTCGGTCAATCGTTAATGGGCTCGTTGATAAAGACAATGCGTCTAGCACAAAGTGAGTGTTGGTCCTCAGTGGTCAGATGGCAGTAGGAGGCTGTGGCAGGTCTAAAGGGGCCTTTGACAGGCTGGAAGGGACCCCTGTGGAGAAGCTTGGAGGCTGTGTCCTGTGAGGGGCAGCTGAAGGAACAGGGATGTTCATCTTTAGTACTCAGGGGACAAGGTTGCCCCCTCCAAATTTCTGAAGGACAAAAACAGATGTGGTTTGCAACTGGTTCTAGAAGGCAGAGCCAGACCAGTGGGGGAAGTTCCAGGGAAGGAGAACTTCCTGACCAAGCGAAGCTGAATAAGGATGGGCCAGGCCGCCCTGAAAGGCAGTGAGCCTCCCATCACTGGAAGAATACAAGGAGGGAGAAACAAGCATTTGGCAAAATCAGGGTCATCTCAGATAAGAATTAGATTGTATAAGTGGATCCCAAACTGAGTTGTGAATTAGAATTGCCTGGAGAGCTTAAAAAAAAGAAAGAAAGAAAGAAAAAAATCCCAGGTCATTACCTTGAGAGCTTCTGAATTATAGGGCCAGTTGAGGCCTAGGAATTTTTTTAAATTTTCCCATATGCTTCTGATGTGCAGCCATATTTGGGAAGCCCCAGGCTGAGTGGTCTCTGGAGATCCAGAGACTCCATGGTGGATGTGATCAGAGAACGAGTGACTCAGCCTTTGAAGGCTTGGTCTGCATCTAGATTCCATCCAACACCCTTGCCCTTGACACTTCATAAGCTGCAGCTGGCACCAGAACTCGTGAAAGCATTCCCGTTGCAAGGCATTTGGAAAGTCATCAAAACAAAAAAAGAACAAGCTTTCCACAATGCTTGACATTTATGGTTGGAGAGAAGGCTCCATTCCATACACAGGGGCCCAGGGTAAATGAAATGCATACATTGTTTTCTCAAATGGTTGACTGTTTTCAGAAATGTTTTGGATTTAGCTTTTTAATTGGCAAAAATGCACCAGGGCTCTGTAATAGGTCTTGGGCCTGGAACCAGTGTGAGTATTTGGACAAAAAGGACTGAAGGGGAAACAGGGAGATAACACGAGACCTCGTCAGGCCATTGTCAGCAGAGAATGTCACCCAGGGATGTGTTTACACGGGGCGGTGGAGGAAGAAAAGCTATTCTACCCTTCAGCGTTTTAGAGCCTTATATGTCTCTGGAGTTACTGGAGAAAATTCCCAGCTCTGAGAATAATGAACAGATCAGACAGATTCCAAACAAAAAGATACATGAGCTGAACTTGGCATTGATGCCACATGAGCATAACGAGAGCCCCCCCCCCCCCGCACCTGAACAGAAGATGGAAGGCGGGGTCAGGACATGGAGGGAATTACGGGAAACAGAAATTTAAAAATGAAGCTGCATGTAAAAAGCAAACCAAGACAAATTTGGCTTTTTTGTCCTCTTTTTTCCTACCTGTGTTAGCTCCCTATACCCACTGCTGTCGGGTCGGACCCGACTCACAGCGACCCCTCCTTGGGTTTCCGAGGTGGTATCTCTGTGGAAGTAGATTGCCCAACCTTCCTTCTGAGGAGTGGCTGGTGGGTCTGAACTGCCAGCTTTCTGGTTAGCAGTCAAGTGCCTTAGGCACTACCCCCAGAGGATTGCTATAACGGGCTCACAGTCTGGGTGCTGGAACCAACAAGGTCCCTTCTCTGCCGTTCTGAGGCCAGAAGGCCAACATCAAGGTGTTGTTAGGTTCATGTTCCCTCTGTAGACTCGGGGGAAGATCCTTCCAGGTGGATCACCCAGGAAGCAAGGTAAGCTCAGGTTGAGCTGTGCTTCCTTACTAATCTGCAGTGAACAATTTCACATGGGTTTTACCACATCTTTGATCCTTCCTTATCATCTAGCTTGACGAGGCCTCAGGCAGGGACCAGCCCATGCAGTGCTTTGGAGGCCCAGG